ATTTTCGCCTTTAGAGACTATTTAGGGTTCTTATCACGAATAATTGTGAACACTGCTGATTCGAAGTATATACTTTAGGTGAAAGAGAAGTTCTGTCGATTAAGTGAGGCTCAGTTCGTCACAAGGTGTCCTCTAGTAGTTTCTTCATTGAAAGGATGTCCACAATTCGAAAGCACTTTTGATCCATTTATCATGCCAGAAGTCATACTGCAAGCCAACCCAGGTAAGCGCGAGTTTCGGTTACTAGAGAGCTGGGCGCAGGCCGGGGCATTTCGCTAGATCCCATCGAAAACCGTTGAGGCGTCTTGTGAAAACTGTGTACTATCAGGGCATCGTTTACTTTTCACAAGTCTATGGTGTAACTGACAGTATCTAACGTAAGTGCACAATTCCCACGCTAACACCCCCCCCCCCCCCCCCCCCCTAAGCCGGACAGCGCAAAATCTGACTTTTGTCGTCTGTTCATTTTATTACTTTATTTCAGAGACAGTGGATGAATCAAGAAAACGAAAAACGCAGCAAGCTGAGGGTGATGAAGGCATTTATTGGCGAATCAACTGGACTCGTTTCGATAGATATATTCGCGATGAAATGACCCTTGAATTGCTTGTGCCAAAGGTATTGTTCAAATCAACTTCACGACAATTTATTACCAAATAAGTCATCCATTTCTCATGAACTGAAGTTCAGTCGTATTGTAGGGCTCAGCTGGAGAGCACACGGCGCATTGCTTATCACAAACGGTTCGATCACTTCTCAAGGCAAATGAGGTTCGAGTCTCACCCGTTGCAACGATCAATTCAACGCCGATATCGGTACGACAGTTCTTTGACTTGCTTATTTAGGTAGTTCCCTTTCTAGTTGACTGTTATGGGAACTTCTTTCTTCTCCTTCTCCTCCTTGTCATTTGTTGCGCGGCACTCTTTCTCACATTTCACTGGTTTTTCAATGATCCAGGTCCCAAGCAAGCCGCACCCATATTTAAGCCGTTTCATCCGTCATAATATATTGCGACTTAAAAAAGTAGAATAATCGGAGAATTAGGTGGATGCGAGCTACGGGAAAGAGGTATCGATATGTGACAGAATGGCGGAATCGACGTTTCGTGAGGATGCGCCTAAGTCTCTTATTCCCAAAACGCTGTCAGCCGGCGTCGGTTGACCCTCATCCACTCCTTTGACTGCAACCTCCCGGTGCGTCAATTCGGCGATTCTCTTGTCTCCCAAGACGCTAGATTCATACCTATACTTTCCCTCAGGGGAGCAGCATCGTGATGTCTAAAAATGGTGGTATAGGTACACCCCTCGCCCTCCGAGAGAGGGTGTCAGTACGACCACCTCCCCCCACCTAAATGGGGCCTCGGTACGACTTTCCCCCTTCTCCTTCCTACCAATTTCCCACATTTCCCAGTTTTTCACCCGAAGATTTTCTGTAGAGCAGTGGAGGGAAGTTCTAGCCGATGTGAAACGTGGAATTTCCCGGTTTTTGCACAACTTCCTACCACTTTTTCGGAATTTTCCGAAAGTTTTCCTATTTTCCCCAAAGTTTTGCTGTCGAGCGGGGCGGGGAGGGGGAGATAGGGGCATGGGCATGCAGTACATATGGAACAGCAGGAAAATAACGCGAAAAGTCAACAACCAGGAAATTTTTTCCCTAACGCAGCAAACTGCTCTTAAAGGCCCATACGACCCCTCTTCTCCTAGCGACCAAATACGACCCCCTCCCCAACGGAAAAGTGCGACCCCCTATGTGTATCACACAACGATGTACCCTGCTTTCCCTTGACGCATATTTCCTTCTATCCGCATACTTCCGCATACTATCTGATTCTGCTATACGTTCCCGAGTCGCAAAGTATTAGCGCGGGATTCGAACTGTCACATTGTGAGTCTATTGGATGTAGACGATGTAGACCAGCAAAGATAAACTAGGCTCAGCATGCTGGAAAGTGCGCAGCAACGAAGCTAGAAGATTGTGAGAATTGAGTGTTCATTCTGCCTCTGCTCGCTATCCGACACGCGATACGCAGACTACACGCCATACGACCAACCACACGCTTTGCCATAGCCTCGTGTGCCGCTAGTCACAACAGCGCTCCGCTGTGGCTATGGCGTGTGCATGGCGTATCGAATAAGCGCTTGGAGAGAAAGTGATCATCAAATTCGCACAATATTTCAGTTTGGTTTGGCGTACTTTCCTTTGAAGAGATTGCTACAGGTTTACGGATTGCCGGCTTGCTCACATACAAAAAGTTGCGCCGCTCTGATAATGGCGCTGTGCCTATTCTAGTGATTCTTGCATTCAAAGCAGTCTGTTTTCGGAGCGCAATGGATAGCCTCAGGCTGGATACCATTGGTAAAATCATTTAGTTCTTTTACAGCTTTTTGACATGATGCGGTGTGTGAAGGAAAACGAGCTTGGAATAGAACGACCTGATCTAGAAAAATCGTTGCGAATCCTCGTTGACGATTCCCACGGTGTTGTTACGTAAGTCAGGAGACAGTGGTGGAGGACTGTATATAATTGGTTAGTGGATTAACCAGTGCACAGTTGATATCTTCGCAATTAGTCAGGGCGGTGTCAAGAGGCACAGTTCCAGCGTTTTCGTCACTGGTCGCGTTCTCTCTACATGGATCACGAGCGATCGCTATTGGTGGAAACAGCCGGAAGCGGGCTCACCTCTCCCCTTCCTCCTGGCACAGACTCAACTGATTGCGACGATATCAGCTGTGTGTTGAAACGTTGCTCCGTTTTTTTTTAAGTAGCGTTTCAGACTTTGAACGTGCTACACAACAAATTTGTCAATATCATATTGAATCGCTGATACGAGAACAGCTGGAGACAAGAGCAGTACGGTAAGAGAATGAAGACTTGAACGGGTCTTATTTTCGCTCACCCGATGGACCCCTAAATAAGGGGGCATTCGGTGCAGATAGGGAGGGACTGGCTGATTATCTCGAAATTCGACACAGCCTCTTCTCAATGGCGAACTCAAAAAAATCAGACTGTAAAGTTGACACGAAAGATTACGTGTGCATCACCTAATTACTTTTCAAAAAAAGCGTTTTCTCGTTCAGAGTTCATTGAGTCGCGGACGCGTTCCTAGTCGTGCCGTCGAAATGAGTCAGGGCCGCGAGCCGCATTGGCGCTCCCTCTTGACACCGCCTCGGCTCCACACCGTGCTCTTGACCAGGTGAACGGTTAAGTGGTCGATTCAGGAAAAAACACTTGATGTGATAAACGCCATAAGTTGAGCGCTCATCGTCGTGCCTCTTGATAGCTCTTCCGCACTGATTGCCCCTCTTCGCGTGCACAACCTGGTACGGTTACTTAGGCCCTATGCATATGACGTGTGATATTCGTGGATGTGAGATACATGTCAAGTGACGAAGCGCATTCTGCTAACACCAGAATGGGCGGCGGCAGACAACAAGTATACCTCCTTACTGGTGCTTCCAAGGCGGTAAAGAAGAGGGATGCGCCAATGAATCGGATTTTTGTCTCCACCCATACTATCTACGCGAAATGTCCCTTTAATGTGTTCATTGCTTAATGCTGGAACTAATACTCGACTCCGAAAAGGTGAGAGGCACATCTCGTCCGGGCAAGCTCCAACCCCGAAAAAGGCGTTTTTTTTGGTACGTCGCTATCTATGCCGCGAAGAGGGTAACACGTAGTAGAATGAGTAATACAGTAAGGGAGCAAATGATGAAACATTGTTAAAGGCAGAGCCCGCGATCATTCATCATCATAGATAGTGGATTAGGAGTTTGTATTTAGACGACAAGGTACTGAGTAACTCTATAGTGAAGAAAAAGCAAAAAAAACATGCCAACTGCCCTTAGATAGAACCCCATTTCGATCCCAGTTTGCACGTGCCCAGTTACTCCATCTCTAACTTTACGCCCTCACCCGCACATCTGATTCTGCGTTAAGAACTCTGCGACCGTTTAAAAGGCGATGTTTATGCTTTTTTCGTCCTGCAGCTTCACTTTTCACTGAAAGGCGGCTTGAAGGCGGAGTCTGGAGGCGGAGTCACTGGAAAAAGGAGGCGTCACTGAACTTAATTGCGCTAGGCACCCCTCACAATTTTTTGCCGCGAAACCAGTACAAGGTTGTTCGTCGCGGACCACACTACCCTCCCAACGCCATATTTTCAACTTCTATACCTGATCGCCAACCGTGCCTTTGAAGGCAATGGGCACGATTGCTGGTAGCAGGCGGTTATCGCCAGCGTTATTCGTGGAAGGATTGAGTGGGGTGTAACCGGACGACCTCTCGCACTCCCTCCCTCCGATGACGCTGGCGACGACCACCCTGCCTTCAGCCGTGCCCTCCCTTTCTACGGGAACTGCTAAATGTCTTAAGCTCCTCTTAATGAAGGAGAGGAAATCTGCCACTGACTTCATTATTGGATTCTCAAAGCTGTTGCTTTCAGTATCTTCCGCCTTCTTCAGCAAAAGGGTCACCTTGAAGAGGACCAGATTGAGAAGCTGACGATGATGAGCGGTAAAGAGACTCGGGAGCTCCTATATGCAATGCTTGAAGAGGGATATATTCAGACTAAGGTATGCTGTCCCTCATCATTTCCGAAGACTCGCTATGTAGTCATGCCGATTCCGGAGGCAGGCCAATTCTTTGTATTGCTTTGCGCTATGTCTCCAGTTCGGTTTTATGGTTAGCACCGTGCTTTTACTTTTGGACTCGCAACCGCTTATCCCTCTGGACCGGTAGCACTGAATACTGGATCGCGAGACTGAGTCAAATGGAATCGAACCATTGCATTTGTCACTGCTGTTATCCTTCCTCATAGAGGAGGTTCTAGAATCTGGCCAAGTTTTACCTTGCCATTCTTGCCAACTTTTCTAATCTATTTTCAGCCTATTGGTCGTACAAATGATTTCGCCCCAGCACGAACTTTTGTGCTATACTACGTCGACTTACCGCAGACTGTACGCGGACTCGTTGAATATACCTGTAAGGTATGTCTGGCCATTTCTTCTTCTCAAAGGCAAACAGTATACTCACCTCTGAGGACGGTCCTTCCCAGTGTGAGGTGAATGCTGGAAGGTAGTGGTTCCCGGCTGCCCACTCCATACTCCGTCCACGCTATCCTCAAGGTGCAGCGCTTGCGTAGGTAGGAAGGTCCCGCAGCGAAACACACAAGTAACGGTAGAGAACAACAAAAGTAAGAGTCCAAGACAAATGGACAAGTAGCGCGTCTGGCTACGATTAGGCGTACGGCTGGCTGCGCGGCAACGCGAGGTGGAGCATGGGGTCGGCAGCCGGGTAACACTATCCTCCAATCCTGCCCACGTGCACTTCTTACCGGAGAAAGTAACACGCTACTGCAGCTGCGGATCTATTCTTCTCAGGCCAAGATCCATGGAGGTGAATGTACAGTTTGTTTCCAGTCGTTTTTGAGACCTGAGGGGCATGTCAGGCGATTTTCCTAGCAGTTTACCTTTTACCTGAATTACCGGCTTCTTCGGTGTCTGTTTTACAACTGTTTCGGTCCCAAAAGCATTCGGATAAATTAGGCTTTTTGGCACTCACTTCTGCTCTTTTGGCAATCAAATTACCATTCTGAATTCAATAAAGGACAAAATGTTCCCAAATGCTACGATTAGTCAGAACACTACTTGATTATCTGGTGCTTAGCAGGTAGCCGTTCCACATAAACGCGTCGCGATCGCGTGTATAACATCTTGTTCGCCGCGGACACTGGGGCGTGTTAGGGAGCTGGGTGTATCGTACCGTTCAACACCAGTTTTTAACACTCGTGCACCTTCAATAGTTGATGAAGCACCTGCTGGCCCTGCGCCAAACCCAGCCCCTAGACAGGACCCAGCGTCCGTAGCGGAAAAGTTGTTCAAATGTGTCTCTATTGGCCGCACACAAACATGATTAATGATAATACATGGACGTGAACTCAGTTGGGGGTATCAGCGGCGCGTGGATTTTGGCGTGGCGCCAGCAAATTTCCCATCAATTGTTGCGTCGTCGGGAGCTCAAAAAGTGGCAGGAAAGAGACTGGCGAAGCGATGCCACGCGCCGCTGACACGCCCCGACTGACTTCAACGATACTGACTGCATGTTCTGTGTGGGATGCAGAGAATGTGTTGTGGCTCAACTGCTACTCATTGTTCAGTAAAGAACTGAAGGGAAGCGCTTAGTTGGCCTAGGCGAGAAATGATTTGCATTTGAGCTTTGGTTTCTGAGCGGTGCATTGATAGCGGCGCCATCTGCACTAACTCCACCTTATAGTTCAAAAGTAATATGATGTTTTGGATCCGATTCAGATGCTCCGAAACATAGTTTTACGTCGTGCATATGAAACCAAAGAACATCGACTGCTCATTGAACGCCAAGTGAAAATGGAGTCGATCATTGAGACAATCAGCGCTGATGAAGCTCTGGATGAAGAGACCAAAAAGCAGCAGGTCTAGTTGCTTCCATTCGATCTTTTGGCTACATACTTTTCATATCCCAGTAATGGATAGGGCGTGGCTGCTCATTCGAACGTGGCGCCTGGTGGGATGTTTTCGTTCTGGTACACTCAATATCATGTCTTTGTCCAGCATAAAACAGGAGTCTTCGCGAATGGAAATACCCTACAAAAACATAATGCGCCATGCTCAAATGAAGTACTCAGTCACGCCCTCCCAATCTCCAGGATATGAATTGCACCTGAATGTTTGTTATTGTAGATGGCCGAAGTGGAAGAGATGTATATGTCGACAGCAGATCGCCAAACGCTGGAGAAATACCGAAGAGCGCAAACGATGTTGAACGCCGCCGAAACGGAATGTGAACGGGCACTGTTTGCTTTTAGACTTTTTGTTGAATTTTCTCAACGCAGTTGTTAGAGTTGATACATGATTTTGTTGGTTTTATTGTTTTCCTGGAAATCGTTGTAAAGTTTCTTGAACTTTAGGAAATCTCCAATCCTAATTATTTATTGTAAATTTCAATTTGTTGACAGCTATTGTTACTGTTTCTTTTTCATCTCAGATTTTCATCTCATCATGAAATATGCAAGCTTTTCATGTTTCCAGTGTTGCTGGTAGACACCATAAATTCTATCAGAATTCTCTTCACATTCAATTAGGATCATTTCCATTTTTTTCAGTGCTTGAATTTATTTGAATGGACCCTGTGTCCATGAGGGACGCTCTGGAGTAGAAGGTGCACTTTGCGATCAGCGTATGGGCGGTTACTGATAGCTTTGTGCCTTTCTAATGGCTGTGTCAGCTGTGGTAATGAGATAGGGTGTGTGAAAGAAAAGCACGATAGTCGTGGGTCTCCGCCCATCCAGTTATCGTTATTTTAAAGGCAAAGGGCACGATAAATCGACTAAGTTTTCGAGCTAAAAATACCCAGTG